AACGAACTTGAAAACGGTTCAGACCCAACAGTAACTTCCCTGAAAAAATTACAAGAAAGTATAATAAAATCACGAAGTGTAGTTCAAGGAAATTGCAATGAAAATTTTGATTTTGAAAGAAAAAAAAAAGATTGAACAACATACACTATATTTACACCTTTGTTGACAGGTTCCTTGACTCGGTCATTTACCCATATATAGGCAAGGTCTTTCCTATTTACCATATTAAAGGCTTGATGTCCAAGGGTAATTGTGATGCTAATGTTAGTAGCAGAAAATATTTCAATAATATCATTGGCTGAAGTCATTAATCTCAATGCTGGAATTTTGTTTTGTAAAAGTAAGTCAACAACCATTGATGGAACCAATTGTTGTGATTGTTGTCTGCCCCATGTTATGCCCACAAAGCTATTTACACGAGTTGCCATGAACAAAACCATGAAACATATGCCTATGCTTAGCCTCATCTTGCCTTTTCTTTTTGAAGGATTGCGCTTCGCCACAATGGTACCTAGAAGCGAAGCCAGGAATTTTAACAACATAATGAGATTTGAATAAATACAAGAATATTACAATTACAATTCAATTTTACGACGTAAAATAATTTTTGAGCAATCTTTTCCGTTGCACTAAATTATGTTTCTTGATTTTACTATTTATATATGTATAAAAAGTTTATTTTTTACCTTATTTATGCAATGTAACGAAAGAGATTGAACAGAAACTCCCTATAAAAGTCTAGGATGATATATACCTGTCTTGTCACAAACTAAGTTTTTGGTGGCTCTCCAAATTAAATTTGAAGATCCCATAGGGGTTTGCTTTTACATGAATAGATGGAGAGAAGGAGGTGTTTCCCTCAATAGTTTAAGTGATCAGGTTCTCCTAGGGAAAAAAAGAAAAATAAACTTACACCAAAGGTGAATACACATGTCCGCTTATTACGGGCATGCATTAAAGGTTATAAGTTTATGAGTTACACACCAATCACCATTTATCTCAGTTTAATTTAGAGAACGAACCCATTATTCACCTTCACTTGTTTTATTTACTTCATATCAAAGAGTATAAATTTTTAAAATTACACAAAAATTATTAACCTATGTAATTGAGTTATAAAATAAAACTAAAAAAAGCACAAACTCTTGAAAATGATGAATATTGATCATATATAGTCAACTTAATAAAGAAAAAACTATGTACCTCACACAAAAGTATTCTAATATCTTATCATAACTTATGTATATGTTTGCTTTAGTGGCTCAAACATAACAGAATAATATGTTGACTCGTACTCAAATATATTTTATAACAATATTATTTTCTTCATGACCTTATAAAATAAATTCTATTTGCTCAAGTACATAATATAAATTTTATCTTATTCCTTAATGGAACTTAAACTGAAAAATAAAAAAATAATAAAAGACTCCATATTATTAGGTTTAACTAACGTAAGAAAATTTAGTTGGATGGGTTGTTTAAACCCAACTACATGTGTTTCAAAAAACAATAATTATCATAAAAATTAAGGTAGAAAATTAATATTTATTTTTATTATTTTAACCAACATGAAGGTATCATAATGTAATATAATTCTCAAAATGTATAAAATCTATTAACATTTCATGCAGATTTTAATGTGCATTTCGATAAATCATTACAATAGTATTTGCAATATTTATTTCTAATTTGCATATACATTTTTAATTTTTTGAATTATAAAAGTGAATTATAGTTAACTAATTTAAAGCTATTTATTGATAATATTTAGTGACATTGTACTTAGATTCAACTGACTGGGTATTATCTCTCTTAATTCATGAAGTTAGTTGCTGAAATGTGGTTTTTTTTATTATTTGAATGGATTTATCATGAGAATATTACTATTAATACTGATATTTATTACGAGTTTCATAGTTATATCAATAATTAAAGTTAATGATGAGTCAAAATACACACGAAGTATAAAAGACAACAAAAACCTAAAAGAGGAATTCTTTTTTAAAATTTCAAAACTAATTCTTCCAAAACTAAAATCAAATAAAATGCATTAACTAATGGCGTTCTTTTGATTTAAAGTTTTAAATAATAAACATACCCTTTGTCCCTCAAGTGTGTTCCACGTGCTTCAAGAAAATATAACTCATATTATCTTAATATGAAAAGTATGTTAATTTAAATAAGGTAAATTTTTTATTAATTTTAAAATCCTAAATATTTATAGTTGTTATATATTTTAAATAAGAAAAGATTTCTAGTAAAAAATAGTTGATTTTAAAGTACTAAATATTAAAAAATTAATTAAATGACTATTCCTAAATATTAGGAAAATAATTAAATTATTATTCCTAAATATTAGAAAATTAATTTGAATGACTATTTTATTCGGTGTGAACCCTATTTTTAAAGAGTAAAAAAAGCGAATGACATTTCGCTAAGGGTCTTCATGTTTTTAACATAGTATAGATGAGTCACCAATTTGTTTAATTATTTAAGAGTTTACACTTTAAACTGAAAATATAAGAAAAAATTTACACTATGAAATCATTCAAAATATTTATCAGAAACGACCTATTGAACAATAGTCATCGCTTCACCATAATGTTCCTCATTTTTTTGCATTTTAGGGTCATAAAACAAGAATTCAGCATGATTCCTAAATTTAGAGATGGTACGAGATAAGAGATAATTAGTTACGCAATTAAATTTGAGATGAGTTTATCCCTGTTTAGTTGGGATAAAATGGTGATATAACTAAACTCGAGATTAGTATTTTTTATCCCTATGAAAATGTGAGATAGCTTATCTCTGAATAATTAATTATGGGATAACTTATTTCTTGATAGTAACGAATCACAAAGTTGACATTACATCTGTCTTTTCAATGGGCCAGTTGGACTATACAAAGGGATATGAAGATAACTTTATATTTTAATGGGCCACTTGTATTACTTCAAGGGACGTGCCCTTCTCTCTTTAATTAAAAATCTTCAAATAATAATTGAAGTGCTCTTTCAATATTTTACTTTCTTGTACGTTGTGGATACAATGTTAACTGTGGTTGAAATTAAATAGCATTCATCTTAAATTCTAGTCAGTGCTTTCAAGTTCATATAAGGTTTCTGCTGCTGCTGTTTTTGTTCATAAGCAAATAATATTAAAGATAGTACTCCCACCGTCTAAATTTATGGGGCAATGTTTAGCTGGTCATTTAAGTTCAATTCAGAAAAGAAAATTGACACTTAGGGTCTAAAAAAGCAAAAGATATATAAATCATTTCATTAAGAAAAAAGTAAGATGTTTGGAGCTAATTTATTTGTAAATATAAAAATGTAAGTATATGCTAAAAGGAAAAGTGTGTCCAGGAAAAGAAAAAACAAATAGCAGTACATATATTTGGACAAAGATGATAATAAATATACGTTTGGTCAGTTAATATTGTACGGATCCGTGGCGCAATGGTAGCGGTCTGACTCCAGATCAGAAGGTTGCATGTTCGATTCACGTCGGGTTCAAAACTCCCGATCAATCCGGTGCCCCTTTTACTATTTGATTTTGGGGCCATTTTTTTTAAAAAAAAATTGTACCATACCAAAATTTTGATTATTCTATTATGTACAACCAAAATAAGATTTCGGGGACATTTTTTTTAAAAATTTGTACCATACCAAACTAACCAAAATAAGACTTTTCGAAACCATTCTAGTCATGTTGGTATCAGTTAATTTTCGGTATTTTATAGGACTTAGCAAAAATGTCTAGATATTTTTACTGTTTAAAGGATAATGAATTAAGAACATGAAAGATGACCAGAGTATAGATCCATCAACTCTTCAAAGCAGCGTAAAAAAAACTAAGCAAAGACAAAGAAATTATAAATCATACGAGTGAAATTTTTACAAAATCAAATTCCAGCATTGAGATTAAGAACTTCAGGCTATGATATCAGTGAAATTTTTTCTGGAACTAATATTAGCCTCACTATTACTTTGGTAAATAATTTCATGTGGCAGGCAAATAGGAAAGACCTTGCATATACTTGGGTAAATGACCGAGTCAAGAATCCAGTAAACAAAGGTGTAAATATAGTGTACGTATTCGATCCTTTTTTTTTTTTTTTTTTTTTTTTTTTTTTTTTTTTTTTTTTTTAAGAACTATTATTATTGAAATCTCACATGTTGCAATTTGTTCCTATTATATTGTCGTTGCTACTATTTGTTACTTTATTTTCACTGTTTCTTGAGCTGAGGGTCTTTCGAAAATAGCCTCTCTACCTTCATAAGGGAGGCCAAGATAAGATATGCATACACACTACCCTCCCCAGACCCCACCTGTGGGATTACACTAAATTTTTTTGGTTGTGCCATTTGTTCCTATTATATTGTCGTTGCTACTGTTTGTTACTTTATTTTCACTATTCCTTGAGCTGAGGGTCTATCAAAAATAGCCTCTCTACCTTCACAAGGGAGGCCGGGGTAAGGTCTGCATACACACTACCCTCCACAGACCCCATGTGTGGGATTACATTGGATTTTTTTGGTGTTGTGCCATTTGTTCCTATTATATTGCCGCGCTACTGTTTGTTGCTTTATTTTCATTGTTCCTTGAGCTAGAGGCGGAGTTAGGATTTGAACCTTATGGGTTCGAGATTATAATTCTTTTAAGTTACTGGAATATTCATTGGATTTCTTAATACAAATATAGGGTTTGAACAAAAGTTACTGGGTTCGCCCGAACCCGCGACTAACACCATGGCTCCGCCTTTGCCTTGAGTCGAGGGTCTATCGAAAATAGCCTATCTACCTTCACAAGAAAGGGGTAAGGTCTGCGTATACACTATCTTCTCCAGATCCCCACATGTGGGATTCCACTTTTTTTTTAAAAAAAAATTATTGCAATCTCCTTACTTAGACTTTGTGATTTTATTTCCTTAATATATGTTCTTATATTTCTTCAGAGATGTAACCGTTGGGACTGAACCATATTCGAATACGTTCATGAAAGAAGCAAGGACCGATCAAGTTGTAAACGTAATAAAATTTATACGAGAAGCTCTTGACGATATGGGATTAGGGTATGTCAAAACTACAACTTCCCATGGCATGGATGTTTTAAAGCTTACAAAAGTTCCATCAGAAGCCGATTTTCGCGATGACATAAAAGAACAAATGCTTGAATCGTTAGAGTTCTTCAATCAAACTGGAGCACCCTTTGATTTGGTCATGTTTCCAATCCATTACGTTAACGAAGTATTGAATTATACTATGGAATTCGCGTTCTTTAATAATAAGAGCGAGTTCAAGATTCAAGATGGTAAGTTTACGTACACAAATGTTGTGGAGCTAATGATTGATTCCGTTGCATGGGCAATAAGAAAAGCAGGATACCCTAATATGAAAATTATGATAGGTCAAATTGGTTGGCCAACGGACGGATATCCACACGCCAATGTTGAAAATGCAGAGAGATTTTATAAGGGTTTCTTGAAATTTATAGCTTCAAATAAAGGAACACCTCTTAAGCCAGGTCCTATAGATGTATTTCTCCATAGTTTATCAGATGAGAATCTGTTTCGTACGATATATGGTGCATTTCAAAGACACTGGGGAATTTACGAAGCAGATGGGAATCCAAAATACAAGATTGATTTTTCATTACAAGATCGTGATATTTATCCAACTCAGGCTAAGGGGATTGTGAAAATGCCAAATAGGTGGTGTGTGTTTAATAGAAATAGAGAAAACATGGATTTGGTAAATAAGAACTATAATTTTGCATGCAATATAGCAGATTGTACGTCTCTGGAAAAAGGAGCCTCATGTGATGGACTAAGTGATGATTCTAAAATTTCTTATGCTTTTAATGTATTCTTCCAAAAGCAGAAGCAGAAGGTAGAATTGTGTGATTTTGATGGTTTAGGCGAAATTACAGCAGAAAATCCATCAACGGGTAACTGCGAGTTTCCTATAGAGATATTGACATTCCAAGATCAAGCAGTTAAAGATGGTATGATTTTAAGAATTTGACAAATACGAAATACTTTGTGCACCGGATGTCCTACCATTATTTTAGCGGCGAAACCGTGAAAGATCTAACATGATGGAATTGGTTGTGACAGAATTTAAATAGAAATGGAATCAAAGTCTTCCTCTACCACAAATAGCAAAGGCATTGTATTTCATGTAACGAGTGTGAAGAACATGGTTGTTGATCAAAATATATTCCAATTAATTTAAAGGATATTACTTTCTATATTGCTTTTTGCGTTCACTTTAGTGCCTTTTTAAATCTAGTCCAGTAACTCATATTGCAACCGTCACACCTCTTTTTTTTGCCCCAAAAGATATGTATTATGGATTACTATGGGTTAAAAATTTTTCTAACTAAAATCACAAATTTGAATAGAGATTATTTTATTTACTGAGTCGTCACTTGGAATTGATTTTTTTGGTGTTCCAAGTCACATTTTATTTGAATCACTAGTCAAAGAAAGGTTTGACTCTATTATTATTGGTCTGCGAAAACAAAGTTCGGGTAAGAAATTCTGTTGACCGGAGAGAAGGTGTAAAGCATTCCCCGAGTCCCGTGGTTCTAGCACGATCGCTTTATTGACTACAACTTGGCTTGAATTAGTTTTAGATAAGCTATGATTTATTGGTTTTCGTGTTTTATCTATCCGCTTTTATATTAAAATATAGAATTATCTTTGAAATGAATTACTTGTGTGAATCCGTTTTGTTTATTTTGCCAAAATCATGTCACGTGTACGTGCACGCAATTAATAGCATTTTTATTATATTTAAGGTTGTTTCTCCTAAAGTTGCGCGAACGCATACCTTGATTTTAGTTTTGGAAATCGTAATTATGTCACGAGAACGTATACATAATCACGATGATTCAATTAATTAAGAGTACGTCTAAAACACTCTAGCGCATTCATGATTTATTTCTTTCCTATGTTTGAGATTATTATGAAGGTCATGGATTATGGAATTACTTGTGGAAGAAGTGTATGATTTTAGATATTTGAATAAATAAACCATCATATACCAATACCCCACCCCCCAATAATTGAAGACCAAACTCATTAGGGTCTAAATCTTCCCAACTTTAAAGCAAGTTTGAATACCATATTTTCAAAAACATGATTAAGCATATGGCATTTAAGGACTAATTTACATTATTATTTATAAAGTTTAAAGGCAAATAAATAAAATCACATGAAATAAGATAAAAAGAACAGAGTTAAGAATAAACTTTTAATGCAAAATTTCCAATTAAATGAGTCTCCAAGAACATGTATAACAACTCAGACGAACGTCGAACACGCATAAGCGACGAATAACATCAAACCTAGTGAACTGAGCTCCAACAGAATTCTCGACCTCGACTATTGACTCCACTTTTTGGCGTGTAAAAAGGGATATTATGAAGTATTTTTGTTGGGTTTTGGGTGATGACTTGCTGGATTTTTCGAAAGAAAGACGAATAAAGAATGACACGATTAGAAATTCCCTTAGCGTAGAAGAAGAAAAATAATTTCTCTCAATTCCCTCCTATATTTTTTCTTCTTCTCTCCCTCTTTTCTCCTCACATTTCTCTTCTATTTATAGAAACAATTTCGGAAATTTTCATATTTGTTTTAATTATTTTATTATTTTATTAATTTTTAATTAAAAAGAATTCCCACTTCCCATTTTTCTTCTTTTTTAAAAAAAAATAATTCCCCACTTTACTTTACTTTTATTTTTTAATTTCTCACTTCTTTTACTTTACTTTTTTTTTCATTTATTTTACTTTTCTTTTTTTAATTTCCACTTATTTTACTTGTCTTTTTTTAAATTTCCACTTTCTTTTACTTTTTTTAAAAAAAAATTCAGCTACCTTTACTTTTATTTTTTAATTTCATCTTTATTTTATTTTATATTTTTTTAAATTTTTACATTATTTTACTTTTATTGTTTTAAATTTTCTACTTTCTTTTAGTTTTTAACAAAAAAATAATTTCCACCTAATTTTACTTTTAATTTTTTATTCCATACTTTTAATTTTTCTATTATTTTATTCCCATACGAAAATTAAAAAAATATTTCATTTTTTAGGTTTTTTTAATTTATTGTATTTTAAAATAAAGATAAAAAATAAAAATAATACTAATAGTAATAATCTGACCTTTTAAAATATTTTTAATTCTTACCCTATATAAAAAATATAACAAAGCTAAAAAATATATATATTAAATTTCTAAAAATATTTACATAGTATAAGGTGGTAAAAATTTAAATATAATAAAAAATTAGGTGCTCACAGCAACCCAACTTCTTGAAGGAAGCATGTGCTTAATCTTAGGCCACTTTTTTGGAAAGGAAAAGAGGGAGGGAAAAGAGAGTGCATTTTCAAATTATGAAATAAATACTAAAAATAACAATAATGGTTGTCAAAATAAATAAAATATATAAGAAAGTGCTCTTATTTTTTTCAAAAAAAAAAAATTCTCTTATTGTTATATTTCTTTATGATTACTCTTGCAAAATTAGACTTTTTGATTCCGAGTATGCATTTCGATCAAATTTATTTTTGTCTGTCTATAAAATATTTCGGTAAACTATTGAAACTAGAAGATAATATTATGTATACGCCACATACATATAAGGACTTGTCTAGTAATGTAACGACCCAATCGGTTGTTTTGACTTTTAGAACTCCATTTCCTTAAATAAAACTTTCCGTATGTGCTTTAATGATTTATGACTTGTGGGGATGGTTGGTTCGGGATTTGGAAGTGTTTGGATTGAAATCGGAATACTTGGTTCCTTAAGTTGATTTTAAAAGGCCAAGTTTGACTTTGGTCAACATTTTGAGCAAACGGATTCAGATCAGTATTTTGACAGTTTTGGTAGATCCGTATCGTGATTTGAGACTTGGGCGTATGCCCGGAATCAAATTCCGAGGTCCCTACCCCGAGTTATAGAATTTTGATGAAACAATTAAAAATATTTAAGTTCAATTAGTGATCGGATGTCGAATTATGTGCAAACGACCCCGCAATAGAATTTTAATGATTTCAACAGCTCTATATGGTGATTTTGGATTTAGGAGCGTGATCAAAATTTTATTTGAAAGTCCGTAGTGAAATTTGGCTTGAAATGGCTAAAACAAGAATTTAAGTTTGGAAGTTTGACCGGGGAGTAGACTTTTTGATACCGGAGTCGGAATACAGTTTCGAAATTTTTTATAGGTCTGTTATGTCATTTATGACTTGTGTGCAAAATTTGAGGTCAATCGGAGTTGATTTGATAGGTTTCGACATCGAATGTAGAAGTTGAAAATTTTAAGTTTCATTAAGCTTGAATTGGAGTATAATTCGTGGTTTTAGCGTCGTTTTATATGATTTGAGGTTTCAAATAAGTTCGTATGATGTTGTAGGACTTGTTGGTATATTTAGTTGAGGTCCCGAGGGTCTCGGATGGATTCCGGGTGGTTAAAGGATCGAATTTGGAATTTGAAGAAGAGTTAGCTGATATTTGGTGTGATCGCGGGTGCGAAAAATCCATCGCGGGTGCGAAGCCGCGGGCGCAAAAAATCCATCGCGGGTGCGAAGCCGCAGGTGCGAAAAATTCATCGCGGATGCCGCAAGTGCGAAAAATTTTGCCGCGGGCGCGATGATCGCTGGGCAGTGAGTGTTTAAAACGGGAATTTGAGCATTTTTGCTCATTTCCTTATTCTAGGACGATCTTGGGAGCTTCTTGAGAGGAGCATTCACCTAGAAACTTGGAGGTAAGTTAATTCACACCTATTGCAAGTTAAATACATGATTTATATGTGGATTTAGACATGAAAATTTGTAGAAATTTGGAGTTTTGAAGAAAACCCTAGAAATTGGTATTTTTGATTTTTCACCACGAAAATGGTTATGGAATTGGATGAAAATTATATATTTGAGTTTTTGAGATTATGGGTAACAATTTTCATAAATTTTAGGAATTTTACCATTTTGGATAAGGTAATTTATTTAATAGATAAATTTCGAATCATTTAGCATATATTAATTATTTTGTATAATATTTGGATAGTTTTGAATTTTTCGGTGTCGAATCGAGAATTCAACGCGACGTGGTAATCGAAAAGTAGGCTTTGAGACGAGGTAAGTCTCTTGTCTAATCTTGTGAGTGGAAAATTACCCCATAGAGATTAATTAAATAATTATTGCTAATTGCGGGGCTACGTACGCACGAGGTGACGAGAGTCCGTGCGTAGCTACTATTAATGCTAAAGTCCGGGTAGTTTAGGACTCAAAGCATGAATTACTTGTGTAAATTATATTCTTTATTAATTAAATTATTTGATGTGTATATTGTGAATTGTTATGAAAGGTAGTAAAAGATAAAATTTTCATATGCTTAATTTTTGTTTTGATTAAATAAATTGTTAAAAGAAATTATTCATCTTCTCGAATTTCTCTTATAATAAACATACTCTCATTCCCGGAGGTACATAAGAAAAGTGTCCTCCTTTCTTGTGGAACGGGCCGAACGCCTTGGCAAGATAGATGCATCTATGGATCGTGCCGCACGTCCCTCGGCAATGTACACGACACTCTGGATTGGGCCGTACGTCCTCGGCAGAAACCGTGCTTAATAATAATAATCACACTGTACCTTAATAACTTATTTCAGCTTTCGAAACTAATTGATAAATTGAAGAATCCTTGGAATTTAATGAATTATTATGCGTGCTTGTTAAGGAATTAATTGTTATTCCTATAAATGAGATTAATTGATAAATTGAAAATTATTTGAATTGAAGGAATTTAATTAATATATTGAGAATTGTTGCATTTGAAGGAATTTAATTACTTTTTCTGGTTAAGTAAATTATTGTTAACTCTGTGAATCGCGTTGATATAAATATTTCTATTTTCATGATTATTTAATATTATTGACTCATAGTGAGTGTCAAAGTCGATCATCTCGTCTCTACCTCTTCGAGATTAGGCTTGATACTTACTAGGTACACGTTGTTTTTG